AGCATAATCTGGAAGACGTTGAAAAGTTGGAGGAGATGCTGCTGGAAGGGGGAGTCTACGGACCGGAGCGGAATGAGGAGCAGAAGAAGGAACCATCAGAGGAATCATTTTTAAAAGGCGGCGTATCCGTGCATATCTGAAAAAAGTTTGGGGAATAGATCCTTCTGTCGGACAATATGGCAAATCAAACGTCATCCTAGCGATATCCTCATTAGAGAGAGCAATGAACTCGTCTTGCAAAAGAGATTGTAACATCCAAGAAGCCTCCAAATCTGAAACATTCAATGAGTTTGAAGGAAGAGTCCCAGGGGATTTTCGTTTCAACCGCATATCTGTGAGTTTGCTTCTTTCCCAGTCCAAAAAATTTTCCCATATATTTTCATCCTTTGCAACGCTCGCAGTTTGGACAAACATTTCAAAAAGCACCTCGGTCAATACTTTTTGCAGGCCAACCTTCTTCGCATCGTCGAACCATTTGCCAAGGTAAGCGCGCGGATTCAGAGTGTCGATTGTGGGTGCACCCTTATCATGAGGCACCACAATAACAGTTGAAGAATTTTGTGGCTGTGATGTGATGCAAACATCTCTTTAGCGTTGGCTGTGTTGAGATTGCGAACACGAATCGTTAACCTGTGCACGTCTAGGGAGTGGTTCACGAAACAGAAGAGGTGCAAGTTCATCGGTACAGATGCCATCCAGCGCTCTCAAAACCTGAGTTGCCGTTTCACTAACAACCGGTTGCCGTTCCTCCCTATTCGTAGCGAACGCACGCTCGAGTATTTCAGCTGAACACACATTATCAGTTGTGTTAATTGCTGTAGTTGTTGAAACGGTGGATGATTTCTTTCTTTGTGCAGAGCGTTGGGATTGCAAACATGAATCACGAACACGCACATCTCCAACAACTCCATGAGCGACAAATTCATCTCCCAACACCTCAGAATGGAGTTGTTCCAACTTTTCATGAACTCCGAATGGAGTTTGACAGTGAACATTTTTTTCCTCCATCTGGTGATTCTTTTCCTGAGGAACACGATTACGCTTGGCTGTAGAATCAATCGCTTGAGAATCACTCGTATCGCTATCATCTTCGTCATCATCGAGCAGAGACTTACCGGCCAAACCCAATGAAAAATTAGACACAGATTTGTCACACCTATCATAACCATCGTGATAAAAGTCAACATGAATTTTCACTCGCTTGTTGATGGGCACCTTCAACTCCATCGCGCACAATATCATGGTCACCAGCATGTTCATTTTCATTATCCGATGTATCTTGTTTTTTGCTCTTCCTTGATCGCCTTGACTGGGCCCCTTGTTGTCTTAGATGTAACATCCACAGCACCATCAGTTGTATTGCTATCGACGGTTTGTTTCCTCTTTTTCATTTGAGCGCGTGTCTCATAGGTATGGTGCAGTTCAGAGTCGCCTGCAGGGGGGAAAAAAAAAAAAGTTTACCAAAATTCAACACCGATCAGCCGGAATAGATATATACGACAAAAAAGAAGAACTCATTCAAAAAGTGACGCGCATGTCTTGGCAACTCGTCCGAAAGAGATGTATATGACCAAGGAGAAGAAATCGCTGCAAAAGTTCGTAATAAACGATATTCTTTGTGATGAATTTTTTTGTCGGGCAGCGCAACACGAATGTTGTTGGGATGATCAACGCGCGACAAAGCAACATACAACTGGCCATGCGCAAAAACAGGTTTGCGCAACCAAACCCCAGCACGAGAGACAGTTTGTCCTTGCGACTTGTTAATGGTCGCAGCAAACGCAAGACGGATGGGGAACTGCCTCCTATTCCATTTAAACCCCGTGGTTTCACCATCACTTGTTAAATCGATTTTGGGGATCAGTGTCGTTTCACCAGTACGCATTATGGTCACTTCCAACAAATCATCATCAACAATCTTTTTAAGAATTAACCTTGTGCCATTGCAAAGTCCTTGTTTGGGCGACAAATTGCGCAACAACATCAAAGGCGCACCAATTTTCAAGCGCAGTTTATGAGGCGGAAGACTAGACTCATTGAGAGAATGTAAGACCTCATGTTGGATAGCAAGTTCGTGATCATTAGAAGCAGGGTAATAAACACTATAACTTTCACGCATCTCGCCGGGGAAATCGTTCAGAACCATATCGTTAACACACCCCGCATCGTCATTGGTTGCGCAAAGAATCAATCGAGCATAAAAATAATCAGCATCCCCAACGTGTTCACACACATCGTCAAACGTCGACAAAATCAAATCACGAATATGTTTATCAGTACAAATCTCACGCGGCAGTTTGACCGCGGCAGGTTCATTAAGAAGAAAACGAATATGATCCCCATTCCAAATACGCATCAAAAACGCGTCATACATTCGCGTCATTGGATCATCCCCTAAGCTTAAGATCCGCATATTCTCAGTCAGACAATAGACCTCAAAGAGTTTCCACAAAGGAGACATTTTAATAAAGGCATCAATTTGCTGCGCTTGAGACCGTGCTTCACAACGTGCAAAACCTGTTGAAAGTCCCCAGAAAGAAGCAAAACCTTTCCTCCAAACGAGAGGTTACTGTTACAGAGATCTCGAAGCGTAATGTTAAGAGCTTCC